TGTTGATGGAGGATGCACAAAACAGGGATGTCGAACTGGGGGAGACAAGTCTGGCTCCCCAGCCTCCACACCTGGATGTGGAGCTCTGAATGGAGACACAAACCCCAACGTGTAACGCTCGTCAGCAAGCCAGCAGTCGCAGTTGCTTTCAGATGCTGGCTCGGAAACGTCTGTCAGGGTATTCGTTATCCAGCCACAACAAGCTCGCGTGGGCTGCAGTCTGGCATGTGTAAGCCAGCAATTGCACTGTTTGGGAAACCAGTAGGATCCCTGGTTTCCACACATGTGTACTCCCCACCTTAGTGTATGAAGGAGCATGGGAAGGGACATCGCACTGGGGCACTGCTGCAGCCTCCAGTGGAGCTGGAGGGATCAGAGCAGCCCACGTTGAAGCCAGTTGGCTGTGGTGTGAAGGCTGTAAGTGTGTGGTGATGTTGGTTAAGTCTTCAGCTACCCACCACGGTGTGGAATTGAGAGCCAGCATTGTCTCAGCTGCAGTAGGTCAGCCCAGAAGTTCACGTCGCCCAGCAACGTGCCTTGGCGTGCCCAGTAGTGGATGCTTAGAGCAAGAGACTGTTGGTGGTTACAGAGCGAGCCTTCCCCCTGTTCCTGTCCTCTGTGTAGTTGGTGGTTTAGCCTTATGCAATAATAAAGCTTTTTTTGAGACACCCAAGCCCTTACCTCCTATTGAAGGATGTTTGCGGGCAGGGGCGGTGCTTGGCACCTCTCAGGAATAGTAAGTGAATCACTCCCCAAATTGCTTTGCGTAGGCGTGGAGCACAGGTGAGATTTTTTACCCCTCCGGTGATCACAGAGGTGAGGTTCCTGCGTGGGTGGGGCTTTTGTGGCCTTAGCCAAAATGCGGAGGACTTTAACTGCAGGGAAGTCACGAGCGCTCATTTATTTAATGGCTCTGTCTTGGTTTTGTTCTTGATGCTGTAGGTATAACAGTCTGGTGACTGGCAAGCGGGCAAGAGGACTGATCGCTGTGCTGTGGCTCCTGTCCTTCGGAATCGGACTGACTCCGCTTATGGGCTGGAATAAAGCCATGAGCGGTTGTCCCAATGCCACCAACGAGACAGGGGCTGACAGTGGGACAGAGCACCACGGCTGCTTCATCTCATGCCTCTTCGAGAACGTGGTAACGATGAGCTACATGGTGTATTTCAACTTCTTCGGCTGCGTGCTCCTCCCGCTCGTTATCATGCTGGGAATCTACATTAAGATATTCATGGTCGCCTGTAAGCAGTTGCATCAGATCGAACTGATGGGCAACTCCAGGACCACGCTGCAGAAGGAGGTGCACGCAGCCAAGTCTCTGGCCATCATTGTAGGACTCTTTGCCTTCTGCTGGCTGCCCCTGCATATCTTGAACTGCATCACTCACTTCCATGAGGAGTTCTCCAAATCCAAGCCTGAGTGGCTGATGTATATGGCCATCATCCTCTCCCATGCCAACTCTGTCATCAATCCCATCATCTATGCCTACAGGATCAGGGACTTCCGCTACACCTTCCGCAAGATCATTTCCAAGATCCTCTGTAAGACGGATGACTTCCCCAAGTGCGCCACTGACAACAACCAGCACCTGACTGCCACCAACGTGAACTCTCCAGTAGCCTCTGTGACCCTATGACCCAGCACGTCCTGCTCTGAGGGTTTTGCAGCCTGTCCCTTCCCCGTGCCTAGGTGAACAGTCACAGCTGACTGCCAGGGGAGTGCTCAGCGATGACCGCTGTGCAGTTCCGCAGCCGTAGCGCTGTTCTTTCTGTCATTAACACAGTGCCTCTTAGAGGAGTTACCCCGCTGGGGTTATACGCTGCGTGCAGCTCGCCCTCCGCTGCAAACCCGGACGGCATGCGTGCTGGAGTTCCTGTTGTATTTCCTTTCCAGGTCAGACGTTGGTTGTGGAAAACCCACGTGCTGGGGGTGTTTCCCTAATTGTGCTGCTCATGTCACGTCCTAGGTTCTTTATTTTTATTATTATTATTATTTTTAATCTTTTGATTCATTTAGGAGTAATAATTTTGTGTCTGTTTTTTTGGGTTGTTCTTTAAGTCCATACTTGACAGCACTTTGGTAATACCCTAATTATTCCATCAATTGTTTGATGCAGCTAGTATTCTCTGATGGGAAAAAGTCTTACTTAGCCCAGTTGCTGGTGTGAAACTGAATCTGTGTTCCAGGCGCTGAGGGACGTGACCAAGTTGATGGGAACACAGGATCAGAACCGGCCAGCTATTTTTGGCCTCAATATGGCAGCCCTATGTACTGAAAAGAAAGATTTTAGAAAAGAGTTGACTGAAGGTTTAGAACAGCAGTTTGATTGCCTTTAAATCGCTTTGGTCTACAGGACGACTGTGCAGAGCGGTGCTTCAGGTTGGCTTTCAGATCTGTTTCCAGCTATCAAAAGGCAGAGGAGCCCTGAGGGTCTCAGCTAGTCTGATGCAGAGTCACTGAGGTCAGTGCAAACAACTCCCTTGGTGACACGGTCGCTACACTTAGGTGTTTGCTCCCGCAGTGCTTCCAGACGTGCAGGTTTTAGCTGTGATAGCTGGATGCTGCGGCTCGTCTGATTCCTGAAACTTGGTCTTGCTGGGGTCCCTGTGTAGCCCAGTAACCCCCAGAAGCTGTGAGTGCGTTAGTTTAATAGTGATGTTTATTTTTTTTATTTTTTTATTTTACTCCTGACCTGCATCAGTAGCAAAAGGGACTGGAAGGGAGGTAATTGGCCTGAGAAGCCAGAATGCCTTAGCTTGTGACCTGATTTTGGCCAAGCTCTCTGGGGAAGGAGCTCACCTCGCAGATTGCCCAGCCTGGCCTCTGCGGTTAGCCCGGAGTCCTGGCCGAAGCCCACTCCACAGCGGAGCAGTCTTAATTTGTACTGCAAGTTATCAACTCCCTGCAACCACAGTAAGCTCAGCCCTGCCACCACCTCTCCCAACGGGAGTCTTGCCTGAAGGTCCCTACGTGGCAGTGGCACCACCTCTCTCAGAAGCACTCAATGCCAGCAGCATCTCCGTGCGACCGCTGAGAAGCTGGAGTGCGAGGGTGTGTGTTCAGGGTGGTTTTCTGCGGTAACCCATGCAGGGAGGCAGATAGGGAGCAAGCCTTTCAGAGGGAAGGAAGTTTAAACACAGCCAGTTCCTGAAGAACAGGTCTGTGATGCCTGGAGCAGTTTGTTCCTGATAAACTGTACTTGAATCATGTAGAAATCAGCTTTCTACTTTTTTTAACTCCATTGCACTAAACGGGGGGTAATATAAGACCCCAAGAGTTTAATTTCTCTGGTGTATATAATGACCAATGTGGTGTAAAATCAGCTGAAAAGCTGATTTAAAGAAACCCCGTTCCTGCAGCATCTGCTGTGCCAGCCGGCGTGACCTGCGGGCAGGAGCTGCAGGTATGACAGGGCCCACCACGCAGAGGACAGTTCACGAGGAGTGATGGATTTCACCACCATGTGTGCAGCAGCTCAGCCCTAAGAGCCAGCCCCAAACCCTGGTGAATCACCAGTGAGCTCTGAATGGGTTTGTACACGTTGATGCAATGTCCAAATTTAGCTACAGCTCGGTATCTCAGATACTGGCATTTCCAAGGAGCTGAATAATTGTTACCGGCCCACGTGTTTCTCCTGTGACGGCCCCATTCAGCTTTGCTGCATCTGCCTTGGTCATCGTCCAGCTAGCACATGTAGCCACCTCCTGCCATTTGGGCAGGGTCTGACTCCCTCCTCCTGTCGTTCCTTCCCTTCTCGTTGTCTTTGGCTTTGTTCCCGCTGTTGAGCACGGCTGGAAACAAGCAGCGTTTCACCTGCAGGTCTGGCAGTATCGCGTGGTGGTTGCAAGCCACGTTCATCCTCCCAACAAAGAACATCATCCCTCCTCTCTGGCTGAAAAGGAACCAGCTCTGGACAGCAGGAATGGACTGAACCCGGCCGCGCCGCCACCCGGAGATGGTCCCAGAACGCTTGCTCGGGGAGAGCTTGCACTGCGGCTCGGCATCCGCTACTGCCACCTTCCCCATGCCTCTCACGAGCCCGAGCTCCCGTCCACAGCCGCGGCGTTTCCTCAGCGTGACTCTGCCGGTGGGTTGTTCGTGATTAACCACGGCCCGGGTCACTGTCGTCTTGAGGCACGTTAAGTGTCTTTGTGGATCTGAGCCAAAGTCCTTGCGAGGCAAAATAAAAACAGGACACCTCTCGCCCCCCTCAAGAAAAAGCGCCGACGGTTTCTATAAAAATGTGAAGTGAACGTGGCAGAGGAACCTTGTGTGGCGCGTGCAGCTGGAGCTGCTCAGCGATCGCTCACGACCGCTCTGATGTACATAGATGGATGTGTTTTCCTCATGTTGCTCGGATTTTGTATTTGCCCTAACTGTTACTTACATACAGAATGCTCAATTTACCACCCACACAACCCGGCTCAGCCTGTGCCCCATTATTTCTTGCGCTGCTGTGCTCCCACGGTGTTTTGTGAGGCCACGCTGTACTCGAGGAGAGGCCCGATCTCAGAGCAGGGGCAGGGAGTCACGGCGCTGGTTCCCGGCTGGAGTGTGGAACCAGGGAGCCGCCGTGTCTGATGTATACAGCCTTGCCTTGCCTGCCAGCATGAGGTGATAACTTCTCTGAAATGGGTGAATTCAAAAGCACAGCAACCCGGGTGATGCTTCAGCTCTGTCATCAGTCTCAAGGTGCTACGGGGTCCCAACCCCTGGTACAGGTTTGCCAGTGCCGAACCTGCAACTGCTGCGAGCAGCCAGCTGCAAAGAGTCACCGCAGCGTCACGCTGCCAGAGGCCACCTCCTCAGAGCAGGGCAGGCACTGGGGGGGCGGGGTGTGAGTCAAAGCACGAGCAGAGTGAACCAGATTTACTGGATCACCGAGGGACCCGCTGCACTGTTTGTGTCCCCACATCACAAGCACACAGTATTACACGTTAGTTGAAAGATCTTCCAAAATCCCAAGAATAGCCTAAATAAAAGAAACTGAAGTCAACACGGGCTTCTTGACATTTATTAATTAATCTGTCAATGCATGGCTGCTAATTAATGTCACGCTTGGCTGCAGCACAGGAAGAAACTTACCAGCCACGCTGAACATTTGTCAGCCTTGTAGATGTGAAAAACGCCAGCTACACATCCGGGAGGGTACACAGAAAGCACATCCGCGTGCGAACCAAATCCTTCATCCTTCATCCTCTTCCTCAGCCAGCAAAATGCTTGTGAGTTGCTCCTCAGAGACAGTTAGTTCCTGGCAGGCTCCCATGGCCTGACTGAGGTAGACAGCAAGTATATGTTTGCACTGCAAATAATAGCGCAGCCAAGTTAACAGCAGGAGCAACGCAGGAATGTCATGATCTATCTGGAAGCCACAAAAATCCATCCCAGCCAGAATGGGTCTAATGAAGCGCTCAGCCCTCCCAGGAACGTGGTTCCCTCTTGGCACACCAAGCCCTGGCACAGGCTAGTGCTCCAGTTGCCCCAGGTCAGTTCTGCCACCAGGATACTGTCATACAGGGATGTGATACACAGCGAAGTGTCCCTGGTTCCTGAAGCCCACCCCACAATCGCAGAGCAGTTGGTTACCCTGAGCCCTGCCTCTCTGGCACCAGGGGAAGGGCACCGCTTCCCCAGGCAGACTCCGTGTGGCAGTCCCGTTAGCGGCAGCAGCCCTTGTTCCAACAGACCAGGGATTATTCACCGCTTGAGAGTCAGAACAGTAACCTGTACTTAAGAAGAAAAGCCCTGCCTAGCCCTTGTAAGGCCCAGCTCCACCCAAATACTGTGACCCGCAGAGGCCAGATTACGCAGTGGGTCAGGCACAGCCTGCGTGGCCCACTCGGTGCTCACACGTTCGCTCCCCTTGGAAACTTGGGGCTACTCAGGTTCAAGGAGCAGAGCGCAGCCTTCTCCCTCGCGCCCTGTCCCGGCCCCAGGTTAAGGCAGACAGCTTACCAGAAGGCTCTCGCTCTTCTGCAACACGGTAAAACCAAAAGCGGGGCACGTGCAGAAGTGGCAGGAACTGTAGCAGGTGTAGAGTTTGCCGGCGCTCCCAAGGACCTGAAACAAAGGCAGACAGGGGGTTGGGGGGCAGAGGCAGCATTCACTTTTAATTTCTGTAACACTCAGCCTGTGTCTGGACTGACGTCCTCCCCACAGCGACTCTCAGCATGCAACTGGTGAGCAGGTGTCACAATACCAGTGTCCCCAAATGCTGTAGGGACCCATCTAAGCTTGAAGCTCCTCAGCTGCCTCACGGTCTCTCTGGACATCTCTCCCTACAGGCAGGGAAGCACTCCTGTACGACCCCCGTGCTTGCAGCAGACCTCAGCTCCACCAACGGGTCTGCTGGAAAGGGCAGTGGCACCGAGCATGAAGCCCCCTCCCTCGGCTTCCCAAAGCCGGCAGCGCAACGAGCTGCCAGCCCCTCCAGAAAGCTCGCCCCCTCCAGTAAGGGCAGACACAGGATAGCTGAAGAGGACGAAGACTCTTGTCACAGAAAGCCCATCTGTGAATCCAGCACCACCACGGGCCTGGGGATGGGAGGAGAGCAGCAACGCACACTCGCAGCGAGGCCTTATCTCACTAGCTCCAGTGGCTGCAAAGGCTCTCGCTGTTCTGCTCCCAAAACCAGCTAGTTTTGCCTGAATAAACAAAGTTGAAGTCTCCAGAGAAGAAGCTTCCCTGCTCTCTCTCTGGTTTGAGAACAGCACTGCCTCCTTTTCCCACATGCTGTTCTTCCGCAAGGCTGGTACTGAGGCATCTTCCCTCTGCACCACGGGCACCGGCTGCAGACAGCCAGGTGAAGGAAGCATGCGTTCCCAGCATGGAGAAGCTGACAGGAAAACTGTGAGCTGCTGGAGCTGACTGCATGTTATAGAAAAGCCAACCTATGGATAATTTATCATTTGCTTTCTTCAGGGCTGGAAAATAGCTTTTAGGAAGCTTCTCGAAGAACCAACTGCTCTGCCCGCCTCCTACGGCAAGGGAATGGTCTGCAGGAGCAGAACACGCTCGCAGGCTTTAAGCAGAAACCTGTGCTCAACAGCATGGACTTTACTAATGCTCTGAGGCCCAAACCGAGTGCACCCCACGGCCAAAACACAAGTACCATGGAATATTTGCTGTGATGTGTCTCAAATCTGCCTCAGTGAGAACAAGTGCTTTGTGTCAGCACTGTGGCCTCAGCAGCTGGCACTAAATCTTCCTGGATATTCCAGAGAACGGTGGGGGGTTATAGGGGTGTAATCACCAGCAGCGCCCTCCTCTGCACACAGGCCTCTGGGGACACATGGCGCTCCTCTCCCATATCAGGCTTTAGATTCTGGTTGGGTTTGTGGCACACAAAACACAGAAAAGTGAAAAGCCAGGGGATGTCTGCTCCTCCCCTCCAGGACACCCCTGGCACTCCCGAGACCCTCCAGAGGAACATCCTCCCTCCTGGTCCAGAGCTGCCCTTGTCCTGCCCTCCCCTGTCCCCTGGAGCTCTCTCTGCACCCCTTGCCCCACAGGGAATGTCCACAAGTTTAAGCTCTCCCACATAAGTGCCTATGCCTCAGAATCCCCCTTAACTCCCAGCAGAAGCGGGACACAAGACTCAATTTCCCATTTTGGGGTAAACCATTCTTTTTTCAGTCTGGCCTTTACCCTGGGCCCTCCTTATACTCCAAGCTGAGTTTGTTTCACTTGTGATAAGTTTGTTTTTCTCTAGCCCCTTTGATTGTTTTTTCCAAGATGAAGTATTCCGATGGTGCCTTTCCTTCAGAAGTGTTTTGCTTTGAGGAGGAGGGGGGAGACACAGACACTGCCAGATTTGGGCTGAATTTAACGATCCCCTGTCCTGACCTAGATGGCAAGAATGCATCTTCTGCCTAATAAGGCAGAATCTAAACTCCAAAGACCAAGAGAAAAAGGTGCCTCTGTTTCTGGCAAGCTGCAGCCAAGCCAGGCACTGGGGTGCTGTCTTGGGCCTGAAATGCTGTGAGACTTCCTTCCACTGCCCTCATCTCCAGGTGCTTGGCACAGCAAGGAAAAATCACCTTGGTGGTGATCCTAGTGTGTGTGTGGAGGCAGAAGGGCCAACTGTGGCACCCTGGCAGCTACTGCTGCCACCAGCATCCAGCCAGGCAGCACTGTGCCAGGACCTGATGCGCAAATCCCTTCACGATGGGCAGGCTGCCGTACAGTTCTAGGAAATCAGTGAAAAGAGATATAAAAAAGAAGAATCCAATAGAAGTGCAGGATGTGAGTGATGGTTGGCAGGAGGGCTAAAGCACTGCCTCTCCCCCAGCTAACTGGCTTCACTCCCAAGCTCACAGCATTTCTGCAACTCGGGGACAGCTAACAGGTGCCCCAACGGCTGCCTGCTCACTTCACACTGCCGAATCCAGCACAGCTCCATCAGCCAGCACCCACCATCTCTGCAGCATGTGAGACCTATTTATCCCTGACTCAGAGTTACAAGGGTTGGCTTTAGTCTCGAGCATAGGCAGGTGTTACACAAGCTCTTCTGGGATGATTAACAACTCTGAGGTAACATCAGCCCGTGAATACCCCATTGGTGCTACTCCTCTATTAAGTAGCAAAGGCATGAATGCACAGGCATTAAATGACAAATCACAGCTTTCACTTGACTGAGGGCTCTTTCCTCTCCCATCTCAGTTCCTGAGGGCAAGAGCTGCCTATGCTACAGGCTGCAGGCCTAGGGCCTGTTTGAGCAGGGCCATTTCCCCCTGTATCAGTACCTAAGACGTGCTGGGTGATACGGAACCCAAACAGCATTTTAGCCTTTATCAACATCTCAGATTTGGCTATGCCAACCCAAAGGAGTTTCACCACAGGACCAGCCTCATGGCCTCAATGAGAACAGTTCTCCAGATCCAGCTGCAAGTGAAAGCACCACCTCACATTCCAGCTCAGCCACATTTGGGTTCAAATGGCAGAGCTGACTTCCTGGGGAATAAGTGAAAGGGATGACTGTGCATGTGTCTAGGATGCCCCCTTCTCCCCACTGCACTCGGCATGCTTCTCTGCCGAGGCAGGCACATGAATGAAGAGCCAGTGACACTACCCAGCTACTCCTAAGGGCAGCATCCCACTCAGTGTTTCCGTTTCTACGGCCTCAGGCAGTGTTCCCATCGCTGTTCCAGCCAGCCCCCTGGGGGGAGGCTCTGCTCTGTTTCTGCATCTCAGACAGCTGTGCTGAGGACGAATTTCGCAATGGGACCAGCATCACACCCCCAGAGAAAATATCTCTTCAGATTCCTCTGTTAATTAACTCATCAGCATGACCTTAATCAGCAATGAAGCTTCACTAAAGAGGAATGCTGCTCAGAAACACACATGCACCTGCAAGCAGGGACTGCTTCCTGCAGGCTGCCTGTCAGTGGGAGCATACAGGCAGAGCCCCTGGGTGATGCAGGGGGCCGCTCACATCATACCCATCACCCACAAAGTGTGCTGAAGGATGGGCTTGTCCTACATTAACTCCTGGTGACCAGCCCTGATGTGCCTGTCCAGGGGTTCCTTCTCCATGGGGGAACCGCTGAGTCCCTGGGAAGACCAGAGGCTTTGAGCAGTCCCTGTCGTCCTTCACACAAAGGATACTGAGCGAAAACTGCTTCCCAGGATGCACAGCTCTGCCTTGGCCTGCACGGCCTGGCAAAGTTCTGCAAGGAGGATGTAACCATCCTCTGTCCGGTGGCGTGTTCGGCTGAGCAACAGTAAAAAAGGAAAAGCCTTTAAGCATTCAACTGCTGAGGCAGCTGCTGTCTAAGTGTCCTGGAAGCAGTGCTTCTTAGGCTTTAACAAACATCCATGGGCAAGCCCTCAACTAAAATCAAAGGCTGTGTTGTTGAGCCCTGCATGTTTACGAATCATGCCTCTCTGGAGGGGCTGATGTCCTCTCCAGGGCCCCAGAAACGATAAGATTCCATGTGCAAATCAAGCAATGCAAGCTCTGAACACGTGAAAAACATTTGTGTCGTTACCCAGGCTTGGCTTCACAGCTCTCCTCTTACCCTAGATGACCCCAAAGCATCTCAGCACCTCCAGTGAAGGAGAAAAGGCCCTTTGAAGGGTGGATATTTGGAAATGTTCCTCTTGGCTGCTACAACAGTGAGCAAAGAGACTTCCCCTTCCCTGGTGTGTGAAAAAGCACAGCACCAGGTTCAGCAATGGAGGGGGCTGTGCTACCTGAGGGGGTCAGAAGTGCTAAGTAGACAGAATTGGGTGCTTCTTCACCAAAATCTTAAAAGACGCAGGGTCCCACTGCCTTAGCTGGGGCACCATGCACAGCGTCTCTCTGACTCTGTGACCCCATGGGCTAGATGCAGCCGGTTAACGGCTCATGGAACGGGGACACTGTCCCCAGCAGAGATTCCACCGGTGCTGTGGCACAGTAGAGCAAGGAATTATGCATACAATCTGTTGCTGTATGCGGAGTTTGGTCCTTAGGACTGAGGTGAGCTCTTGTCCCTAAAATGCCATTTTATGAAGATGCTTCTGTGATTCACAGACTTGGCTACAGCGAAGTAGAATGAAACCCACAGATTTGGCCTGCACTGCTTCCTCCCAGGCAGCAAGGATCCTATCACCAAGCAGAGGTCGAGAGCGCTCAGGACACCGAGGATTTGGAGTGCAACAGGGAAAGAAATGCAGTGATGGCAGATAACACTTGGTTACATACAGTTTGTGAAGAGGAAGAACTGCCTTTACTGGATGATCACAATAAAGCAAAATTAGCAATCCCTGGGAAACTTTCTTCTGACTGTGGTACCCACAAACACATAAGAAATTGTCTCTGACTGGCTGGGAGCCCCAGAGAAAACGGTAGTGTACCACACTGTTCTAATTCTGCTCCGTGACTACTGCTCTCTGGTATCACTTTAGGGGTTTGTATTAACCACTGAGATTCTCTCCGTGTTTATCCAAGTGCCCTTCCACGTTCTGCAAGTTAGGAAAATATTGGCTCACACGTCAACTGGAAACCGCCAGGAAGGGGGACAGAAGAGGAGCGTGTACCTGGTAGGCGGTCCTTCCGCTGGGGGACACAACTCTGGTGACAGATCGCTGATCCACCAGATCCAAAGCTGGGACAGCAGATGGGCCAAATACGAACTTCAGCCTGAAAGAGAACGTGTCTCTAGTTAGGTCACACCATGAAAGGAGACCACTTGGCTTAGCCTGAATCACAGGATTTAGCCCTATGGAGTCCAGAAGGCCTGTGCCTCCCAAAGTCCCACAAGTTACAGTTCCACGAATCACGCTACCACGCAAGGAAGTACACTTGTCATCCTCAGCTTTGCTGGCTTTCACCACGTGACCACCAACTCCTGCCTTGTCCCTCTGAGAAAATCCCAGGACTCAGTTCTTAAGAACAGCCTCTACGCTGCCAGCTACTCAGAGATGGTTTCTGCTATTCTTAAGAGAACTCCCAAATTTCCAAGCTGCTCCTAAACAGTCCCACATTTCTCTGCAAAACCCCACTCAGCTTTAATTGCAAAGCATTTCAGAGACTTCTTACACAGGACATTACGGCTGATGCGTTTCTTCTTCAGCTCTATGACCCTAACACCACTCTGGCTGCCTGCTGCACAAACAGGATGTGAAATTGTTCCCATCCTGAACTAAAACGAGACAAAGTGCACCAGAGACACAGAAGTGAGATTTTTTTTAGGCAGCATCTATGACTGTGACACAGCCACGTAGGTGAGGACTTACCTTTGAGTGCTTGTTCTGGCTTGACAGTCACCTTACAGATCACTGATTGCTGCAAAGGGAAGGTAGCTGAGGCCAGAGACACAGGTTGTCCTTACAGTGATCCAATCAGCCTTTTTGTTAGTATTCCCGTAGTTCTTCCAATACAAACTGTGTAGCCAGCACTGGCGTTTAACCAATTTTTCAAACAGTGAATCTAGACTCTAAAACTGGAAATTTTGCTTCTGCCCAACATCCTAAATACAGTAGGTCTTCTTCAGGGGCAACCGCACCTCCGGCAGCAACTGCAAGAGATGCTGGCCAAGAGAAGATGCAGGAAGGAAATCCTGGGGGATGCACAGGGCTGGGGATCCAGCAGAGGTTACAGGCAACAGGCAGTGTCACACACGCAGCGCAATTATCGTTGTTGCAGTAAACTCTGAAACTGTCACATGAGCACAAGGAGCATAAACAGGGATTTAGTGGGGGCAGCACCCAGTAAACGGGCACATGGAGAGAGATTTGCTATGCTAGGGGGAAAAGGGGCTCGTGCTCTGAGACACCTTAGTTGTACATACAGGCTGTCCTGGATGAGGTGCCCTGGATCAGGTTATCGATCAGTTGCTCTTGAATCCCACCTCCAGTCATGACCTGCGCATCGTTCCTCGGAGCAAGGATGATGCATAGCTCCTTGAGCAATAGGAAATGCAGGGGTGGGGCTCCTTCCTCATCCCAGGGAAACTGGTTTAAACTGGAGAACGAATGAGTCAGTTTGTAGTGATCGCATCTCCTCCATCACAGTCACAACTGAGATATAAATTATTCTCTACCCACCAAACTGCATCAATAGGAAGCTGAAGACCATCAGGGAAATATTTAAGACACTCCACTACACATGGAGCCATCGGATAGCAGCAGTTTTACATCTGTAATCCAGTTACCAGCAGGACTCAGAGACAGCAAATTTATTCCAGATAAACACCCAGGGACAGCAGATGCCTTATGTCACTCCACCCTCCGTAAAAACCCCTTCCTTTTCTTCCAAGCAGGACACACCACCGTGCAGGGATGCACCACTGCACAGTATTTATGGATTAGAGAGTGATCTGATCACTCTGCTGATGCTGTGCAGGGCTCTATGCTAAGATGTGTGTCAGATACGGACACCGGTACCTTTAGCCTATTGGCCTGGCAGCTCATAGACTTCAAAGTTATTCTAGACCTGTACATCCAGCTGCTCCGAATGCGTTCCAAAGATCTCGGGGGCAACTCAGTTAACTTTACAGGCCTTTTATCCACTGAGAAAAATCCGTGTAGTCTAGTTACAAGGGTAAACAATAAGAAAGTCAGCGGTGATGTAAAGATAGCACAAAACATGAGCAGAAGAGCCAGAGAAAGAAGAGGACCATTTCCAACTGCAGCGAAGACACAAAGAGCCGAGGCAGAGCCCCGGCGCCTCAGCAGCACGGCTGACCTATGTGTCTGAGTCAGGCTCACTGATAACAAGCCAAGCAGACAGACTTATTCCAGGAAGACCCAAACTTTGGTTGCACAAACTCAAGGCAATAAGGATTGGCTTCATCTGAGGGCTGACAGGAGGTGGGTGGGCGAACACTCAACGTAAGACATTCCTTAATGATTAGGTTTGGGACTATAAGGGGGCTGAGTTTAATGAGTTTCAGTAACTCCTTCAAATTTGGGGAATTCTTTTTTCGTATATATGATTTGATCAGTCTAACAGGAAATAAGTAAGGGGAATGCCCAAAGGAAATTCAATGACTTCAGAGATTTGGAATAGATTCAGAAATTAAATCAGAATACTTCTGAGCTGCTGGTCACAGGGAATTAATGGAAATCTGACTGCCAAGAGTTACCACCCAACCGTTACTACACTTAACAGAGGAATTTCTTTCCTCCTCTTTTCTTTCATTACAAGAAGGAAACAAAAAGTTATGAGACTTGTCAAATATAATCCCACCCTTCAAAGGCCACTGTGGCCCCAGAAGAGGCAGCCAGCGTGCATACCTTTCACAAGTGTGACGGTAGATAGCTCTAGACCCCAAGATATTAAGGTCTGACCGGCTCCCAGTGATCTCCTCTCCTGGTTAAAATAGAGGCAGGCAGAAACACAAAGTTGAAGATGAATCTGCAAAGCCTTTCTCACTATGAATGTGCCTTTTCTCTACCTTCAGCATCAATTAGTGAGGGCTGCAGAAACTTGGCTGTTTTAGGAGACTGCTTGGGAATGGCTGACATACTCACAAGCTTCAATCCAGGCAAGGACAATGAAGCTGACCTGAGGTAACTTCTAAGCAGAAGAGAACACTCAGGGGACTCCTCGAGTTAACAATTCCCTTGTGCAGAGAGATGATACGTTCAATTCTCCCTTTCTATCACACACGTCCATGACTCAAACAGAAGAAGGGATCGCAGGATGCTGCTGCGCTCACAGTGATACGAATGCAGCGGCGGTGCAGCACTCCAGCGGCGTGAATCACTCGAAAACACTCTCACAGAAAACTCATTCCAGATCTGAGGGTGGACTCGGAGCTCAGGTTCAACATTCGCATGTTTAATCTACCCAAATTAGAGGAAGTCACCACAGGAGATTCAGCGATACAGAGATAACTTCATGAATCTCTGGGAAAAGCCTTGAGATGGCCTCTTTGGACCATCATTTCCGCTACCAGCAAAACCACGTAGCAAGTCTGTGAGAAACACGTCCTGGCCAAACACAGGAAAAGCACAGTGGTGCTGTGAGGAGAGCAGATTATCAACTGCCCTTTAGCGGATGCCTGGGACAAGAGCTGAAGCAAGAGATACTCACCCCAGCAGCAGGTCATCGGGGACTGCAACAAAAGGAAAACAAAGTGTGATTTAACTGAACTTCACCACTGTGAGAGACATCAGTATCGCAGGGAGGCTAGTCGCTCCCTAGCGTACCCCCAGAGGCCACACAGGACTGCAGGGCTATAGCCATGCCTCTCCAGCCACCAGAAAGCAAGAAGGAGCAGCCAAATGATCTGCTGTGGCAGTGCTGGGGCAGCACTTAGAGCAATTAAAGGTACATTCAGAACCACAGGGATTAATTTTGAAAAGAAACGCGGAAGCCCAAATATACGTCCCTATATCAGATCCTAACGTTAAGATCATGCAAAAAAAGGCATGCAACCTCCACATCTTACTCTGCCACCTTAAGAAGTCGGTTAAAAATATATATATTGGTTTCCTTGAAACTCTCTTGGCATGAGTTGAGAAGTCTGGCATCAAAACTTTTAAAATGTTGTTCTTTTCCCAGCATAGTCCTGCAGGGCGTCACTGGTTTAGAGCTTTTAACACAGCACACAGAAACCTAATGTCTTCATTTACGACAATTTCTTGTTAAAATGGAAAATTACACTTAAGAAAATGAGTCTGTTTGTTGTAGCTAACAGCTTACGCTCCGATGATCCAATCTGGTCTTTCTGTTATCACTAACGGGACACAGTGTACTACGTCTCTATATTCCACTGGAAAATCACGACTTTTTGACTTTAAAATCCTTTGTTCCAACATTTCAAAATATTTTCTATGACTTACGCTGTTGGTTTGACTTTTCCAACTTTATTCTAATTTACTTCTCCGTAGTAATCAATCATTTTGTTTCCAGTTATGTCCCAGTGTATGTCTTTGTGCTATCTTGATGCTTTAAGAAGTCTACCTTGAAAGGACTGTTGATTTTCTTATTTTTTCTAGTTTACAGCAGGATTTATAAAGCTCTTTTAAAGTCACACGTAGATTTTGGACCTGCTCTAACCTGACAGCAGCCACACTGCAAGCATGCCAGAAAGCTGTCGGTGTGGTCACCCTGACAGCTTAGACATGAAGTCCCTGCGCATTCCCCACTCAAACGTAGTGCTCAGACTTCTCTAATGTTTATTTGGTTGGTTTTAGTGCAGTTAAAAATATTCCTTAAACAGACCCTTTCCTGAGGAAGAACCATTCTGTGCTAATTATCAAGTAAACACAATTAGTAACGTTTTTTCAGCACAGATCACAGCACTAGGTTAGCAATTCAGAGTGCAACGAAGGTAATTGTTCTCAACTAGCTGCTGGAATTGGCCAAGATTTAACCGTTGGCTTACGCCTGCTTCATTCAAGCAATGGGAAAGTCGTTCTTTGCCCTGGGATCGCGAACACAACCCCCTCTGCCGATCAGTGAGGAAACATGTTTTTACGAAGACTTTCAGCTCTACTTTGGAGACTGGTGAGTCTATCAGAACAGCAGCACAGTAGGCACAACAAAATGTAAATTGTCATCCCTCAGGTGCAACCACGTACACTACAAGCTCTAAGCAAGCAGCATTGCCCTAGGTCCCACATTCAATAAAGTGTCAACTGGTCTAATTTTTGGAAGGGCCTGACTTCAGAAGGGAGCTGCTCCTCATTATCTGAGCTGCTGTGGAAGCCCAAATACACTTACTTTGATAATATCCTGCTTTTTAAAGCACAGAAGAAAAGGCATGCGGCCTCAACATCTTGCTCTGCCACTCCTGACAGCGAAGGCCACCCCTCACGCAAGAGTCCGCGGAAGATGCAGCAAGGAGAGGCTGACCACCCTCACTGCCACCTGAAGGTCTGACAGCACCAGAATTACTGGCCGGCTGGGATGGCTCCGTTTTGCTTTACGTACCGTGTGAGGTCTCCTGAAAAGCCTTTTTGATCTCTTTCAACAGCTCTTCTGCTACTGCTGGCAGGGTACTCTCCATCTCATTGGCACAGGCCTTGTGGCTGGAAGCAAGACAGAACGGGAGACAGAGGGAAATCGTTAAGGGCCCCAGAGATACTGTAAACCAGGGCAGTTTATCTGGGCAGTACGCTCAATCCTGCGATGAGGCCAAGGAAAGGGCATCCTCAGCACCTTCAGAACTGTGTTTTACACTTCCGTGGAACGAAGGGCTTCCCCAAAACACACGGGTGTCTCAGATACCGCCACGTACAAAGAGCTCCCGTGGAAGAGGGCGATACAGCCGGCGAGAGGAAGAGGCTCTGGCCTAGGGTATCCCGGCGCTGAGCCAAGGCACTTGCCGGCAGAGGAGGCCGCA